CAGTTTAAAATTATACGATCACACTTCAAAGTACAAGAGGTGTACACAACACGCTTTATAGCAGATACTATAAATCTATTTTCCTACCTAGGCGACAAAACAAGAATTCATCATAAAAAATAGACTACAATTCTAAACGCTGTGGCACTTCTGAATCACTACTTTATAAAATTTCAAAAATATATAATATGGAGTCGGGATAGCTCAGACGGTATACCGAGGGACTACAGGCTGCACGGACAGGGTTCGATTCCAAGCAGGGGCAAGAGACTTCCAGATCGGCTCTGGGGCCCACCCAACCTCCTATGCGATGGATACCACAGACTGTTTCCCAGGGGATAAAGCGACTGGGGTGTGAAGTTGATCAGTCACCTCCATGTAGTGCCAACGTCAAGAATGGTGGAGCTATACCTCTGCTCCCCCCTACATCTTCATGGTGTGGTGCTTAATTAAGTCAACACAAGGACGACTTTTTACCTTACCCTTACCGGAAATATATAACTATAAACTATTGAGTGTAGCTCTGTAGGCTAACGGTTAGCACCCCAGCTTTGTAGGGGATACTGGAGTCACCAGATGCAGCTTGTCGTGGTTTACCTCAACGCACTGGGAAGAACGTATGGAAAATACTTCAAAATGGACGACATTTTCTTTCCGCATTGCTTTAATTTAGTGCAGCTGATAACTTGTAAGGACTTCCCTCTGTTTATTCAAGCATCGCGCCATGAACACGTATAGCGGAGTAGAAGTAGACTCCACGCGTTCTTAACTTCGATAACAGACGAACGTGAGTGCTCAAGCATTAGGCTTGAGCCGGTACCCAATGGATAGTGTCGAAATCAAAAGAACATGGATATATACATCCACTCCCCCCATACGTCTTCGTTGCATAATGTTTAGTTAGTTAAGCACAGGGACAAATTTATACGCGGTATCGTAGTAGGTTGAGGCACTATGTTACAAGCCGAAAGATCGCGGGTTCGATTCCAGATTAGGTAATTGGATTTTTCAATTGACCTAATCCTTCCAGCCGCACTATGACCCTGGGGTCGACTCAGCCTCTAACAGAAATTAGTACTATGAATCTTCCTGGGGGTAAAGGGCGGCCGGCCGTAGCGTAAGACTGACCTCCCTGCCATCTGTGAACCGACTGTCTAGAAAATGTGGGAGCCTCGACGTCTCACAACCCTATAGGCCTCCAAGGCCTGTTACAGGGACAGCTTTCACCCAATGGATAGCAGGAAGGGTATGATATAGTCCATGCCCCTGCTGTGAATCGAACCCCTCTTTCTCGGGCGTCCAGCCTGTAGTATATTCGCTATACTAACTGAGTTACATGACAGTTGAATAAACTAGGAATGAGCGATCATTAGATCATAAATCTGAATTGTGTTATTAACGTCTAGGCTTGCAGCAAAGTAGATTCAGACTGTATGAAAGAAGCTTCACAAACCCACATACATATTCAGCTAAAATTCTTCATATAATTAAGACAGTCTTTTGTAACTCGAGTCTTGAGCAGACACATAGAAGTTAATGAGTTGTTGTGTTACACGAAGAGTGTTTAAAATAAGCAAAGTACTGCCTGTAACTCCGTCCAGATTCGTGACTCTGTTATCAAGCTTTATGCTAAACTTGGGAACATGAGACGCACTTGTTAATTTTGTTACTTCACGTGGATCGAATGATAAGTGAGAATCAGTGTTCACTCTACTCCTGCTTTATTAAGACTGAGCTATTTGATACAGAAGTACGCCTTATATACACATACAAGCTTATAACCATAGTAACACTTAACAATATAAAGATACTGTAGTTACACATAACAGTAAACATCACTTAGGTAACAAGACATAACCTAGTTCTTAAATTGTTTACTGTGATGTTGCCAACTCTAACATTATATTTCAGTATCTGAGAGTTGCCAACATAACAGCACTAAATTCTGGAGTGGCATGCAGTCTTCCTATCGACATTCGAGAAATTCCTTAATGTACAAAAAACTTCAATTATTACCCTGTGATAACAAACACTGGGCAAACGAGCCAGGAATGGAGTGGAACAATTTTCGTAATAAGCTGTTGAGAGATTTCAGTTCGGAATTGTGGCTGAACTGGCAGTCCTCCTTACGGCGGTTAATAATTGTTTACTGAACCGGTGAAACATTCGTAATAACTTCAACCAGCTGTCCAGATTCACAGCATTCTACGTACCTCGGGCACTTGATAGTTGCGATATTCTCTGCTTTTACAGAACCCCAATATTCATCGCCGTATTCACAAAAGTCCGTCACTAACTACTTGTTTACATATTAAAATCCTATATATTTACATTGTTATTCCTCTATCGGTGCTTCAGTCTGCTGTCTTCTTTCCTGGAAGCTTATGAATAAAATTTTGCTAGTACAGTTTCTTCTTTTCCCATCCGTTGTATATGTATATCCGGCTTATATCATCATCAGCAGCAGCAGCAAAACTGCCCTTTTTGAGCCACAGCCTTCCTTAGAAGATTCCGCCAGAGTTGCCTATTGAATTAGACCATCCGGTTTTCACTTATTTGGATTTTTTTACGGAGTAGTTCGTCAGCCCTGCGTACGGCCCCCAACCTGGAGGACCAGTTCTCTGTATTTATGTCCCCTTAGTGACAGAGTGGCCCAGTTACAGCCCCAGGCACTGGACTGCCTTTACGTCACCTCCTGAGACTCGCGGGGCTAAGGAGGCATTATTCTAATCCGCCTTCACACGGGAAACGTCTATATCACCAAGATTTTATCACCCTAATGATAGGTCTGTTAGGTGATCAATAGAAATTCTGAACATTCCAACTGTTTCCTCTGAGGTTGTTGAGCCTCTTAGCCTCTTCAATATAACGCCAAGGTAGTACCTTGAAGTAGCCTTCGACGGCACCCTCCCAAATCCTAACATATTGTCATAATTTATGAACATCTTTCCGTCCCAATTTACGCTTTATAACATCTGCTGGTTGAATCATCATTGCTATGCAACAAAAGAATCCAACCTCTGCTATTTCATCTTTCTGGGATCCAAATGTAATCCTCAGGAATTTTTACGAAGATAAATTTACCCAGCCTGTTCACCAGTAGATTAAGGGCCGTATCATTGCTTAGGCTGTCATTCGTTGGTTTCCCACCGCGGTCGTCCGGGTTCGAGTCCAGGTCAGGTCATGTGGGATTTGTGGTGAACAAAGTGGCATTGGGGTAGGATTTCTCCGAGTACTTCGGTTTTCCCTGCCAATTCTCATTCCATCGGCTACTCCACATTCATCATCATATATCATCAGGGACTGGTACAATAGGCCAGTTAGTGGGCGACGTACCAAGTGGACTAAGTCTCACTCCACACCAAGACACTAAAAAAGAAAACTAAAGAACTAAGATGTAGGGACGTGGGCGGTGACAGAAGGTGAACAGAACTGGTTAAGTATCGTGTTTAGTGACGAGCTTTGGTATTAGCAGTGTTAAACAGCTTGGTTATTCTAACCGAGTTTTACTTACCAGCACTATCTGATAAACATCCCCGGGGTTAAAGTGGTTGGGGCATGAAGCGGACCACTCACCACCAACTAATGCCGAAGGTCAAGAATACATATACATCCACTCCCCCACACGCCTTTGTGGAATAGTGCCTAATTACTTAAACAGAGATACAATTTTATCTATCTATGGCTCTAAAGTCCTTGTGGACCTTGGCCGCTTTTTTCTGTTCCTTAATCTATAGGCAGTCGGCAGGACACATGGACGGGGAAGCAGCCGGTCGCAAGGTCGCTACCCATACACAGAACAACACAAACACAGAATAAAGGCACGCAGACATTCATGCCTCGAGCTGGATTCGAACTCACGATCCCAGTGTTCGAGCGGACGGAGTCTGTTCATACCTTAGACTGAGCGGCCATTGTGATCGGCTAGAGACAATTTTACCTGATAAAAATAACCAAAGAAAATTCTCTTTGAAAAATTTTTCTTCATTTTTGGGACTCAATATTCACAATGCCTTCAATGCTTTATCATACAAGCAGCATTCAAGACACTGTGGATCCTCTATACACTGCAGCAGTGATGTGCCCCCTCCCTACCCACAATATGGGTTTCACAGCGTACAAATTTCCATGAAATGTTCTGGTTACGTTATAAGATTGTATTGCAACATTGCTTGCTGTAGTGTGTAAGTAGAGAGAGCGAAGTCCATAGTCCGTTATGGACAGACACGTTTCCGGTTTCTCTAAAGTGACTATTCACACAAGCAGGCATAAATGCAAGTACAGCAATTTAATGGTCTGTACCAATAGCATTTGTGACTCATAAGTATGAAATGCACCTAAAATTTGACGTATTTTAGTCACTGGATAAATATACTGTCACGTGTTAAGTGACTAGACATGGGGTTTGGATTGGTAATTGGATTTATTGAATTTGTACAACTCGTAACTATAAAGAATCACAGCGTTTTCTATAATTCACCACCGAACACATTAAATTTTCTGTGACTTCACTAGGAATTGCCTGGCAACAGATCCCAACAATTTCCTCTGCTTCCGTGCTTACGTCGTTGCCGGCTGGCTATCACCTCAGAACTAGCCTTCAACTGACTATGACTAACACTGACTGACTGATTGCTAAATTGCCATTGGTCCTCGCCAGCATAGTGATTCTTGGTTCAGTCCAGAAGGATTCATGACCATACACTGTCAGACGTCTATGGGAGCCTTCAGACTCTCCTCCACGAGTCAGAGTGAGAGTGAAAGTGAGAATTACTTTACGACTGGCGGTTTACTCTCAATCACTTCGTCTAGACGACAAGCCCCTTGAGACTCACGATCAGTAATTTTATTTTCAAACAGAACACTTGTGGTAATAGCCCTTACGTAACACCTCTCTTGACGAGAGGATGGGTCTGTCGTTTATAATTGTTGCTGGCCCTCACCAGCGCAGTCATTCTCACATCCGAATCCCGCGGGACTCGCGACCACTTTTACTGTCTCAGACTCGAGACTCCCCAAACCTGGAGGGCCAGGTCCTCGTATATATCCGCTAAGATCACAGGGGCCCGGTTATGACACCAGGCACTGGGTTCCCTTTCCGTCGCTCCCTATGACCCGCAGGGTCACGGTGGAGGTATTCGACCCCGCCTCCACTGAAATGGTAGAACAAATGTTGGTAAAATTATAAAATGTTGAACATCACGGAATACATCAAACGGTTCTAAAATGTGTCCCCCTCTGAATTGGCTGGTGGCATCGTTATGTAAAGTCAGCACCGACCGCATTGAAAATATCATTTCCAACAGTTCTTCTATTGTTGCATGTTGACTCGCTGCTGTGAGAATTTTTTACCGCGCCGTTGTCTAGCAATGGCCCTATGCATTCGTTCCATTATTCTGGCTTTCAGCCATCATGTCAAAATACATAATACAAGAGATTCCGAANTGCAGGGATAGCTTATGAACTTAGGAGTTTGTGCAAGAACGCATAATAAATGGGGGAGTCATTCCACCGTGAGTAAATTTAAACATGCTCACCGACAACAAAAGTAAGGACGGTAATTTAAGTTTCAGCAAAACAAGCTGCATCAAGTTGAGATGTAACAGTGAGACACGCTTCAGTATTAGTAAAATAATGACTAACGATGTTGCACAAATACTGCTAAGAGTTAAGTCACGATGTTAGGCGGTAAATAGCTCTTAAAATGGCTCAGCACACGTGTTGCTCACGTCTTCATATTCTAAGCTTTCTCCATGACGCATTCCCAACGAAAATTTACAAAAAGTGCACCTATATTAGTTTAGCCATGTACGTCTGTCCTCATGTACGAACTCAAGAACCGTTGAAAGAAACAGCCTTTGTATGTATGTTTATATGGTGCTCTGCGGAATTTGTAAAACAACAAGGAACCCTCTGCTCAGTAAAATCTTCAAAGTCAGACGTCTTCATCACATTCTTTGTATAGATTAATAAAACAAAAAAAAAAAACACAAACACAAACAACCTCCGTAATTTTAGTCCGCAAGCGAACTACACAAAACGCCTCTGTGGTCTAGTCGACAGAGTTCTTGGATATAGATCCAGAGGTCTGGGTTCGATTCCTGGCACTACCCGATTTTCTGAGAAGTAATGGGTGTGGAAATGGGTCCACTCAGCCTCGTGAGGATAATTGAGGAGCTATTTCAAGGAAATAGCGGCTCCGGTCTAGAAAACCAAACATAACGGACGTGAGGATTCGTTACGCTGACCACGCGACACCCTCTACCCGCAAAAGTTAGCACTAACTTCGCCGACAAGTAGCGGTCGCTCGTTCGGTATAGATTAATATACTGACTCAAAAGAGATGAGTTCTTTTTGAGATGATGTCAGTCACTCAGCTACTCTAGAATTTCCCAGCATTATATGGAACCCGAAGGTTCATTAGCGTGTTCACAAGAGCCCTCCACTGCTCCCTACCTTCAGCCAGATCAATTTAGTTCACACCGCCCAATCCTAAGACCCAATTTAATATTATTCTCCCACCTACATCTGTCTTTCAACCGGGGGCACCCGGAATACAATTCTTCAGTGCCACCGCTATACCAACCAGATCGGCATGCCCCTCTCATATAACAACTGGATACTACATTATTTTCTATGGTTTATGTCCTTCTTTGTGGGTTATTTAACGATGCTGTGAGTACCTAGACTATACAGTACCGAATGACAGGATAGTACGTAAACTACAGAGGATTCGGAGGGAAGTTGTCTTGACCTTATAGAGATACCTTACCGGTAGTTGCTGACGGGACTGAGGAAAACCACTGAAACTCAGTCAGGATATGCGGTGCACCAGCTGAAATTCGAATCAGAGATCTCTCGAATACGAGTCTAGAGCATTACCGCTAAGCCAACCTGTTCGGTTGCTTCTACTTTAATGTGCTGATTTAATTTCTGTAACAAAAGGTTCATGTGAACAAAAACTCTCACGTGGTGATATTTTGGGGGCTCGGGAGTAGCTTACCGGTCTAGAAAACTGAAATTAACGGCTGTGGGAATTCGTTGCGCTGACTACGCGACACCCTCTATCCGCTAAAGTTGGCACTAACTTCGCTGACAAGCGGCGGTCGCTCGGTCGGTATAGTTCGCTTAAGTACTAAAACAACAGACTTTTTTGTTTCTGTTTTTGGGGTAGCTTAAGAGTTTGAGGGCCTCTTACATGATTACACAGGGGGGCACGCGGTAGCGTAGTTTGTTCAGGCACTATGCTACAAGAGGGAAGGTTGAGGGGTTCGATTCCTGTTGAGGTCATCCGAATTCTTCAACTGACCTATTCCTTTCTGCCGCACTATAGCTCTGGGGCCGACTCAGCCTCTAACAGAAATGAGTACCAGGAATCTTCCTGGATGTGAAGGCCGACCGGGAGCGTGAGACTGACCTCGCCGCCATATGTGAGCCGATTGTCTAGAAAATATGGGAGTCTCGACGTCTTACAAAACTATGGGTGTCCAGGGCCTGTTAGAGGGATAGCTTTACCTCACCTTCTACCTACAGTTCTACATTTCGCACCTGCAACACCGTTACACCCTGACAATACCACCCAACTCTAACCCCAAACACAAGAATAGCTCAGATCCCCATTAATATCTACCGTCAAATTTGGGCTGTCTGAAAGATGAAAGGACGTCCCGCCCTCAGAACCGGAGAGGCTGAGCCCCACCTGTGTCATGGCATGCCTATTTAAGCCACTAAACAGGACGAATACGAATATATTCTTACTGTTGTAGGGTTTCTCACCTGCGGTTACACATGCAGGCAGTGCAACTGAGGACGTTCCGCTAATGAGTTTGACAGCGCAGTTATTCGAATTTTACGTCCTTGAATTAGTTGGGTAAAATCTTAAATTGTAATTCTTAGAAGGGAACTATTTTCTGGGACGTGTCGCAGTGTCGTAGATTGTTATTTAATGACGCTGTCATTAAGTTGGCACTAACTTCGCCGACAAGCGGAGGTCGCACGGTCGTTATAGTTCTCTTGCGGACTACAGACCATGGAGTCATTACTGAGACTATATAACATTGATGATGAGACGATTAACGAATGTGAAGCACTTTGTGGACGGAGAATTGGCGAGGGAAACTTAAGTACTAGGAGAAAACCCACCCCAGAGTAACTGCATCAATGACAAATCGCATGTGACGTGACCTGGCGGGAAAATGGCCGTGTAATCTGTATTGAGGACTGTCTATTGACATGGCGGTACATCTTTTTATTTTGCCCAGATCATACCGCTTCGGTGTCCAGCATGCATCCCCCGATCTCGTTAGGGCCACAGTGCCACAGCCGTAATCATCCAGAGCCCGTGGCTCTTGTTGCCCAATGGCCCTAACCATGCAGAGATGAAGCTCTCTGTTTATATGGTAGGAGGATTCCCCGGCTGCTCACATTTCCCGCACGTGGCTTCATTCGAGAGGCCCATGACATGCAGGTGCAGTCTCCATGTGCAGTGGCTAGTCAGCGATCCTGTTACAACTCTATGCTTGTTCCTGTCTTGGTCTGACGCCTCTTTATGTGGTGTAGTGCAAGTTTATCAACGTTTCGGAGGAATGTACCGCCTCCATCTTCAGGATCGAAGTATAAGCCGAGGACGCAACCAGTAGGCAGCAGATATGCGTCTCGGCATAACCTTCGAATTCACAGATTAAGGCAGTACACTACTCCCAAATGTCGGTAACCTTGCATGGGATTACGTGGCGTTGCACTCGCAGCCAACGATGTGAGAGCCGAAGTCTCATGTCAATATTTCAATGTGTAGCCTACAAGTCTATACCATCCAATTCAGTGTGTCAGTGTTATGCAGAATATCAGCACTGTATCAAACCGCCATATGTATCCATGCTTGTTACATAGGCCAATCTTTGTTCATGATAAACAAGGTTGAGGATTAAGATAAACATATCTCCCGTCTGCTTGAGATAATCTAGCATTTATCATCTGTCAGAAAGACGTGAAGCTCTAAAGGAACAACTTATGATATTAGCTATTCTGGAGTTGCAATCTCTATTCCCTACAGAACGGACAGAATACACTGTAAGATGAGGCACCGGCCAAACAATTAATGTCAAAACTATACCATTTATACCACGGGCCTCCAAGCAGTTTATTACATGTATGCAAGTCTGAATATACCGTCATGTCCACTGAATTACAACAAAATTGCAAGAACTGACTTGATGATAGGGAATATCACATGAAGAGTTTTAACCTTATTTTACGCCATAACTTCAGTTTTTATAATAAGTTTATAGTTCATTGTATTTTTTACCATGTATTTTATAATGTGATAATTATCAAGTAGCCAGCTTCACCATCGCAATTGCAGTTCAGTTGTGTGTGAATATGGTAACCATGTGTTTGCCTGATGATGGCTTTAATAGCCGAACCTTGTAGCTAATTTTAGCCTTGACCATTCTATTTTTGTGTTGCGACGGACCTTAATAAAAGAATTGTGTAGCTATTCTGATAAGTTTTTTCCCTTGGCACTACAGCCCCAGTGGGCCTAGGCCTACCTCCATGAACTCCGTTCACTTCGGTTTCTCTAGATCTTACACATTCGGTAGGACTCCTTGGGCGGGTGATCAGCTCGTCGCAAGGCCTCTACCTGTACACAAGCACAGAAAAACGCACACACTCAAACTAAACATCCATGGCCTGAGTGGGATTCGAACCCACGATCCCGGCTTCCGAGCGAGCGAAGACAGTGCACGCCTTAGACCGCTCTGCTACCGTGACCGGCAGTGTATAAGAATAATATATAAGAATTCAGTTCGTACCTCACAGGAAACAGATCCGAACCCACGATCCCGGCTTCCGAGCGAGCGAAGACAGTGCACGCCTTAGACCGCTCGGCTACCGTGACCGGCATTCTGATAATTACTTATTTATATTTGAGGCTATTCTTTACACAGAATGCAGTCCCACACAATAACATTTAACATACTGTATGAGTGCCCTACAATATCTTTATAACGTTGAGTAGCACTCCTTTATCTTAACAGGTGTAAAAGGTTTGATAGTGTCACGTATTTTAGTGACTTTAGACGAAAATTTGGCTCGGTGAGTCGATTTATTGGATATGCACCAGGCGGAACTACAATTGACTATAACACTTTAAATTATACTGTAATTAGAACACGTTGTAATTACATACAATGGTGACACTTAAAGGTTACTATAGCTACACCACATGAACTAAAGAGCTAAGGACTTCACTTCTAACTTCTGTGTCCAAATTAGTCTTTTTCTGTCAGGATCCCACTGGAACTCCTGACTCAACGAATCCTTTCTCCGTTCTCCTTCCGTCTCAGTCTTATGTTACGACCTACGGTCAGTCGGCCAGTCTGTCTTGGCATAAAGCACCCCTCTGGAGCTTACGAGCAGATTTTATTACTGTCAGACAGTTACAGGTTTGTTGATGTGGGCGCTCTCTCTGACGAGAGGACGGGTCTGTCGTTTATAATTGCTGCTGGTCCTCCCAGAGCAGTCAAACTCGGGTCCGAGTCCCGTGGGACTCCGGATCATATTTTATTGTCTCAGGTTTGAGGCTTCTCTTTCTGTCGCCTCTTACGACTCGCATGGCTACGGTGGAGGTATTCGACCCCACCTCCACACGGAATTTGTCTCTTCCGTCTGGCAAATTAATGTTATAATGTTTCGGCGAACCGTGTAGAAGCGGCCTCTTTCAACAGTATAGTTATTGCGTTCTTAGCCGTTATTGTGCTTTGGACGACGATCCGTTGCCGTTAAAGTTACCCTGGGTGTATCAAAACGCTAGCAACTGAAGTCATTGTACCGGAAATATGCCCTGTTAATACTCGTTGCCTAGGGAATCAACATCCGATCTGACTCCAATATTCCGGCTTTCAGGCGTCATGTCACAATAGAATATAAGCAACATAGGTAAGTATATTGCATTTATTTTAATAAGTTTCATTTCGTTTGGGCTCTACTAACTACTAACCCAAAAGTTAAGCATAATTAGTACCAAAGTCTGCCACTGAACATAATCCTGAGATAGTTCCAAAAGCCTCCAATCCCAGCAACCCAATTTCCTACACAGCTGAAAATGTGTACATGCAGTGATCATCTAATAATCATTATGCTGGATGAATACAAATTATTTTTATCAACTTGAATCTTACAGAAAGTTTTTGAACTGAGATATACACACTGTCTTTTCACCATGTGTAATGAAAAGTCATGAAGTTCCAGTATGTCAATATCTCCAGTTTTCAAAAATAATCTCCCTACAGAAATATGATATCATGTTGGTGGGCTGAAACTATTCTAATATTTTTCAGGAAAAAATCTTCTGGGGACAAGCATCAGATATCAGTTTTCTTGAAGTACAAGTTAATGTCAAAGTGATTTTCCAAAAATCGCCTAAATGGCGATCCAGATATGAACAAATAGTTCCAGTTGAATCTATATTTAGAAACCAAAATATAGTTTATGAAATTCTGGATTTTCTGATACATTATTTACTTAATAAGTAATAAGGTAAGGTAAAGTTGTCCCTGTGCTTAACCAATTAAGCATTATGTCATGAAAGTGTATGGGGGAGTGGATGTATAGATCCACAGCTTAATGAGTAATACTGTTCTAAATGCAGAAACTGTAGAATACTGATCGAATACTCAATATTGGTCATCAATAAAGCACAAGTACTCATCTACGGGTTTCATAAATAATTTTTCCAAATACCATGACGAAACTAAGTGTAGGAAACAACAAAGAGATTGAAGGTATTACAAAGCATTCATAAATCATTCAATCTTCCAAAACACAGAATTATAAGTTCTTCAGCAAGTTTGTCCATTACAAATGTGAATATCATTATTGTGAATAACAATTCACCCACCTGCCATAATACAGGTAGTTAAAATAAATATGAAAAGATGGCAACATATTTGGTCACCAAAGCCAATATGGAGGTAACAGTATTGTATCTGAGCGTCCTGTTGCATTAGTCGAATATTTAATATATATACGAGTATATAACGTGTAGTACACAAACGCATACCCACAAGCACACACATACACACGCACTCCCTCTCTCGAGCCACCACAGCATATGAAGTCAAACATCCAGACATATAAAACACATCTGCAATGACAACAAAACAATCTCCATGATTTTAGTCCGCAAGCAAACTATACCGACCGAGCGACCGCCGCTTGCCAGCAAAGTTAGTGCCAACTTTTGTGGATAGAGGGTGTGGCATGATCAGCGCAACAGAAACCCAATGCCGTTAGTTTCGGTTTTCTAGAATGGAGCGGCTATTTCTTTGAAATAGCTCCTCAATTATCATCATGAGGCTGAGTGGATCCTGTTCCAGACTCACTATTTCTCAGAAAAAAAATCTGGTAGCACAGGGAATCGAACTCTGACCACTAGACCACAAAGGCTGTCTCAAGAAACTGGACACAAGATCAAATTTTAAAAATAATCTAATTTTGTTTTAAAAACAAACCTACTTACTTAGACTAATACACTGGATACAGCTTTCTCAAGATGAATTACTCTAAAACTAAGCAGATGGTGTCTGCCCACACCTACACTCACTCACAGACTCAGTCGAAGGCAACCTATCCAAAGCCCATTGGTTAGGAGTCCGCATAAGGCCCAAAGTTTGTCATACATAGTGGTGAGAAGAAAAGATTTACACCTCTGTTGTAAAGCTAATAATATTTTTGTAGTTTTCATGAACCTAATCTTGACTAAGCAGTTAACTTGATTAATAATGCTACTTCATACCTGCATTGTTTAAACCAATCTAACCAGCCAAACAAGGATATAAGAAATAATTTTTCATATTAATTATATGCACAGCCACGCCATAGCTCGAGCGGTCAGTCACTGGCTTCACACTGCAGCTGTCTGGGTTCGATCCCGGGTCTGGTCAAGTGGGATTTGTGGTGGACAAAGTGGTGCTAGGGCAGGTTTTCTCCGAGTACTTTGGTTTCCCTTGCCACTCTTCATTCCACCAAATTTTCCATCATCATAATCACCCGGACAGGCTACAGTAGGCCAATCAGTGGCCGCCATGCCGAGTGGACCCAGTTGGACTCCACCCCTACTAAGCACACATTGTACAAAGTGCAGCAAAGTTCTTTCATTTTATGGATATGAGTGCTGTTTATTTATTACTTTGTTTACGTTTTGTGTTGCAGGTTTGTGTTAGTTTAAACAAGAAAATAGTAGCCAAAGGTGAAAATAAGCCTGAAAAAGTAGTAGTAATGAGAGTGTGGGCTCATGAAGAACCATACACAAGGAAGACAATCCCTGAAATTTGTAACGACTTTCAAGCAAAGTGACATAAGGATACTCCTTCCAAAGTGACAATACTGAGGTGGGAATTAAGTTGTCCAAGACTGGAAATATAGAAGACAGGCTATTAATAAATGTGCGCAGAAGTCATTATCAGGTCACCATGAAAGTTTCTGCAAAAATGATCCTTTGAACATGGATTGCCTGAAGCAACAATGAAAAACAAACGAAAATAGATCTCAGAATGAAAGTGGTGGCTGATGCTTGTCAGTGAACTGAATGCTGACGAACATTTTGAAAGCTGAGAATGCTTCTTGCAAGTATTCACCACTCTCTTCAACCATAGTAAAATAATTAATTCTGTTTAAAGTGCTATTTATCAAAGTTGAAGTTAGATTATTAAATTACATGCAATGTAAGAACCCCCCTTACCATGAAGAACATGAGAAAACAACTGGTATAACGTTATTTGATAATTATTTTTTATAACAAATGAACAATTAAAGTTACCTTGCAATGTTAAGAGAAGACTTTGTGACACAACCAGGGTGCCTGAACGTTCAGAACTTGCAACTCCATGAAAGGCAGCACTGACCCATTTCACTCTTCCTGTTCAGTAATACTTGACTGTGTTGTTCCCTGACAGAGGGACTGGACGGAGCCAAGCACTTTTGCCAACGTTAATGTAGTGGTCCACAAGAATTCCTGATATCCTGTCATGTGATAATACATTAGAAGGTTTCATAAGAGAAAATGCATCCACAATTCAAATACAAAACTGAACTACTGCTGAAAGTTGCATGAAATTATTGTACAAGGTCCTGCAGTGCTAAGCCTCATTATCACATCTCACCTAGCAATCATTTATGTTGTGCTAAGAGAAAAAGAAATGCACATGGGTGACACATTAGGACTTATGATGTTTTACATAGTGAGTACTGGAATTTTTTATATACCCCGTACAAATGGACATCACACCATTATTAGGCAGGCATAAAAAACAAATGCTTAACTAATTAAGCAATACGAAATGAAGGCGTATGGGGAAGTGGATGTATAGAGCCGTGCTTAACCTGGACACTTGTTAGAGGTGAGTGGTCAGCTTCACGCCCCAGCCACTTTACATCCAGAGCAAGGTCCCCAGTAACCATTGGATAGAAGGCTGGGTGGACCCCAGAACGGGTCTGGACGACTTGGACAAAATTCTTGACCTTACAGGGACACGAACTCCGACTCCTGTCTCATCCAGCCTGTACCCAGTTGCCAGTCGCTACATCAACTGAGCTATCCTAGTTTATTATAGAGACAAAAAAAAATGGGGCAAAGACATACTCTACAAAATCAACAAAAGTCACTTTAATTTTATGCTAGGCTATTCATTTTGAAAATAACACTTACTGTAAGTTGCATGATAATGTGTTAAAATTAGGGCTGTTTTACATTAATATGTAATTTTGACCTCAGAATGTGTTTCTTTTCACGATTTTTCGGGTTCAGTGCTCGAACGAATCTGGCTCACTTCTTCCGATACACTACACCCCCTTCCCCCAAGTAACGTGTATGTGTTTTTTTTATTTATTTAGAAAACATGTATGTACAAAAAAAAAACAGGCATTGCCCATCCAGTCCTCTGTGGTCCAGTCGAGTAGAGTAAACCGCCCCGACACCTATCGCGAACGTAAGGAACTATCTGGAGACCGACAGCACCACCAACATCACAGAACAGACTGTAATTCTTCCAAATCAAGCACACTTGATTTGGAAATAATTTATGAGCCTAAAATAACTGCCATAACTCCAAACACGCTAGCGTAATGCATGATGTCATCCCTTTGGTAGAAATATGTACTTTTAATGTACCTGCATAACCGCATAAAGAGAGACAATCACTGTGTGGTACTGATCGCAAATGCAGAAAAGAACTATATGATTAACATTGTGCAATATTATTTATATATCGTGGCAGTTAAAAACGTAAAATTAAGGCGGTCATAGCTAGAGAAATATTGATTCGAGCTAAATGCATGCATTGTTACGATTGTAACTATGAACTGTCATCTGGTTCAGGATAGGATATATTGTCGATAATTTGTGAACACGGCAATGAACCTTGGCCTTTCATAAAAGACTGACATTTCGAAATTAGATTAACTTCTCATGTAGAACTTGTAAAAGACAATGTGATTTCTTTTAAACATAATGTAGCTAACTTTAAACTTTGCAACTATTGGTACTCCTGATTCTGTTGGCGTTTGTACATAATTCGTTGTTCACTTATTTGAACTTCAGCACCGCTAAGTTTCATATAGATTTACTGAAAACGTTTCAGTCTGTATCTGTCGGACGGTGGTAGTTTGCATTTTGTCGTTTGTTCATTTTAAATTCAGCACCGGTAAGTTTCCTGCAGCGTTATCAAGAACGTTTCAGTTAGGACATGTACGAGATATTTCTACATTGCCTTTGTTATGACCACGTATAAATTGCTTTAAATTTATAATCACTGGCAGAACTTATATTTTCGCATCTGTGTACAAATGTACCGAAATCATATGTGTTTTAAACATTTCAGTAGACTCTAGTGACTGTTCAACTTGGCCCTTTCTGTAAATCTCACAGGTGAATCTAGTGACTGCAACATAGCTGTTTCAGAACTATATTAACTGGTCCCATAATGTTAAACTTCTGTAGCAGTTCTTCAAAGCTTTACCAGCTTCACCTGCCTGTTGAAATTTAGCGGTATTTGAAATACAATGAGGGAACATGCAGAAAAAACAGTTTGGCCTCATATTTTTTTAAGTTTACCTATTCTACCTTTTAGTATCTTTGTTTTTAGTTCTTCCAGAATCAATTCTAACATTCCATTTATGGGGCATTTTTTTTACTTACCATTTAACGCATTCCCTATGTAAAATACATAATTTTATCCTTGAAAATTTTCCCCCAAATCACAGCAAGAGTTATACACTAGCAGAGCTTAGAAAAAGAAATCTTAATTCCTCCTTATGAAACCATTACTTGTGCACACTCGGTAATATGCTACACACTTTGCTGCAGTTACTGTGCTACCTAACTATATTTATTATTATATCAAACTTGCTTTCTGCTGTCCAGCATTCCATTTTGCTGTACTTACGATTTAAAATTTGTTGCACCCACCATTGTTTCTGCTACCTAACCAATTCTACATTCATTACTTGTTTGCTATGGTCAATATGGCTTGACCAGAGACATAATTTGTAATCATTTTAGGATTCCTGTATGACCTTACTGGCACGATACAAATAAAAAAAAGGTGCAATGGATTTGGGAAGTGGAAATGCCCGTGGGATATTTCCTGATGCTGATAATTTTAGCAATAGAAGTTCATTTTTACTTTGAATTACATATCAGATAATGTTCATACAGTTACATTACAACATATTTATGCAGTCCATTTCAGGCATCTGGTATCCAAGTGAGTGCCAAGACATCTTACACTACAATATCTGGCTCCACATGGAATACACTTATAGTTGCTTGTGAAACCGCACACAGCACAGAAATGTCTTTCAGGGACTTTAGATGGTGGAGCTTGAGCTGACATGTAATTTGGTGGATCTGGATTGTAGTTTTGATCTTCTTCTACCAGCTGTGCAAAAGTTTTGCGAAATCTGAAACAGGAAATTATATCTTCAAGCATACTGGGGCGGGGGATAGCAACTCTCTTCATCAAACTATATCTAACAGACACTACATTTCCATGCAAATAAGTTTATGGCACTACAACCCAGAAGACTGTGCTCTTCATGGTCACCGCTGTGAGAACCTCAAATCCAACAAAGTTCTTATCATTTTGTGCAATGGATGTCATGACAGAATTCCTGTTACATATTTTGAAGCAGGAATCCCAGCCTGAAGATCAACTGAGGTTTTGTGGCTTTCCTCGGGTACTTCATGCAATTCTCAAAAGTCTTGCCCTGTTATTTTACATTACACCATCTACACAGCTGAAATGCATCATTAATAAAGCCTAGAATCAACTTCAAAAAATTCACCTCTGTTTGTAGTATTCTGCACTGCGTGCTTTCTTCCTTCTTCCACCTCTAGATTCTAAAGTTTCCTGGAATTTTGGAACCTTTTTGCTCATCACTGGGAATTAAAGGAAATCAAAACAAAATATGAATGAGGTAGCACCTATTGGAAGGTCTATGTAAACCACAATGATCTTCTGATCACGTTCAAGATGGGTCTCAAAATCTTATTAGCAGACTTACCCAAATCAGCATGGGGATCGTCGTGGAAATTGTCTTGTTCTAGAGCTTCCAGTGCTTTTCTCATTCTTCTTCGGCGGGCTGCTTCATCTAGAATCCTTTTCTGATTTGCATCTTTCAAACGCCCTGATTCTCTTGCTGATGCCATTTTGTTTTATACGTTCTTTTAGACTTTCACCCAAGTTTACAGTCCTCTGTCAGCCAAGGGGAAATTAATTTGGTCCATTAAATCATCAACGCGAGATTGTAAGGTTTCCAGGATATCAGATAAAATAAACAGATGTGTCTCGTCTAAATCTTGAAGAATGAATTTCTTTCCCAAAGCCAATGTTTCATCCAGATGCAAAAGGAACTGTTTCATGGCCTGATCACTGAAAAGTAAAATTTATTTGGTAAATAAATAGAGTTTGTATTATATCCTTCACATTTTTAATACAATCTGACATTTATAGAGTTTATTTTATAAAAGCATGCTCAGGAAATACTAAAAATCTTCATATAAAGGGAATTAAAATAGTGTGTTCGTAACTGAAATTTATTTCGTTTTGGAATAATTACAGACATGCACATTGCAATAAAAAATTAATGTACAACAAATATATCTTGGCATCTAATGGCCTATGTCCAAAATAGAACATGTCAGTGTTTTCTCTCTCTGAAACTTGTTAGAAATTTAAGTTACACAAATATTTATTCCAAAATACCAGTATGAATAATAGGCACTTTTCAGTTTTCTTAAAAGACAATGATTTGGAGATGGGGGTTTAATTCAGAGATCTTGGATTAAAGTCCTATTTGGCCCATACATCTGACTGTAAAGATACTGATACAACACTTCAGACTGATCATAAAAAGATAAACAATTTAATCCAGTGTGATTGGTGAAGATTTTTCTTAGTTCAATTCTTCATGCCCTTACATGTTTTGGTTCTTAGAGACCATTATCAGAGGGACATCAATACAGTTTGGAAACTACTATTATAATAGATGTTCTGAGTGTTAAAATATACAAATGGATACAAAATTCAAAATTTTTACAACTACAGCAGCTGTCTGGATATATTTTTTTTTTATTATTTTTGTTAGTTAAGTTAGAATTTATAAACCAAATATGTTCGTGTCCTCTTTCTTATTGATTCTCTTGACGGGGGCCAAACGTGTGCCGCCTGTCGTTCTTGAGAAGAAGGTTCTTTGATGTCGTCCTGTGGTTGTTCATGGTGTGCTGGGCATGAAGAATTGAAATAAGAAAAATCTTCACCAGTCCCACTGGACAGAACTGTTTTAACTTTTTATAATATTGTTAGTGTGATGGACCAGAATGAAACAAATCAAATTCATCAAACTAATCACTTATTGAACAGATGTTTAGTGAAAAGTGTATGGTTCTATTTGCTTGAGTATCAGCTGTTATATCATGATGCAAGGATCCTCTTTTTCCATGTCATATCACGGAAATGTGATCATGACTTGATTGTAGGATTTGAGGTTTTTACAGCAGTGGTTATGAAGAGTTCTGTCTTCTGGGACATATGTAATTCTATGTACTCCATTGCAAGTTAACCACTGTTTTGGAGGAGATGGTGGCATGTTCCTCCGAAACCATGGGTGCCTCTCAGTGGACCACATGACCTTATATCCCAGAAGATAGTACTTTCCAAGATACAAATATTTCCTCGCACCTACATATGTGGTCACAACTAATGAACTAGGTAACACTAACCTGAAAATTTCACAAGCAGCAACCCATATGGGTCAATCTGATTAAAAGTGTAGCATAGCTGTGGAGTAAAATTTTATAAAATTTTATCAAACTGTGTTTATATACTACAGACATTAAGACACAACATAGCTTTGTCATGAAATTGGTACAAAGTGCTCAAAACCTGCTGTTGTATATAGTGACACCGAGTATAGACTGTTGTATAAGGTATGGTGATGCTTACTATAAACTGTTGTATATGTTAATACCTGTTTGGTATATGGCGATACATATTATGTAATGAACTATTGTATAAGGTAATTGATATAATATGTTATATGGTATACTGTAATATGAGGAAAAGACTGTACCGACAGGAAGTATCAAGAGATTAACTTCAGGAAGGATCAAAAGATTAGAGCTTGGTCCTTCACTTGTGCTGTCACAAGAAAAAAAGCTTGTTTTTAACTAAGACCAAGACAGCTGTGGACCCTCCAAAACTCCCGAGGATGATGCAATGAATGACGCTAACAGATTACTCCAGAAGGGCAACGCCTTAACTGGACCAGATATATACCCCTCCCGGGCATCATCAAGCCACTTTTTAATATCGACGCTGCCTGAGTGTCCATTAAGTGGAGCAGAGCTGTCTCATACTGGGAGTCGGCAGCTGCCCTTGCTCACGCAGACCACTGATTTTCTTACAAACAGGGGTTTCTCTACAACTGTGTACATTATCAATAAATGTATTAGTTAATTTCAAGTTGCAGTACTCAGACACCCCGCACTGACTCCCAAGGGAACCACTCACCCTGCCAACCTACAATCTGTCTCATCACTGGGATAAAAAACACTGCTTCATCTCCAAATTTCTCTTTGCAGGGGTCAGTAATTGCAGAAATCATGTCACGGAAAGGACTAAGTGTAGAAGAGAAAAGAACTAGAATGCTGCAGATATTCTATGAGAAAAAGGAATTCTTTCAACTGAAAGTAAGAATGTTTGCAAAAGGTGGTCAATGGCTAGGCTTCAATTTTGCATTTATGCATGAACCTATAATACATTTTCTTTCAATAGGAACTGGAGAAAATTGCACCAAAAGAAAAGGGAATCACTGAGCAGTCTGTCAAAGATGTGGTTCAGAGTTTGGTGGATGATGGCCTGGTAGACACAGACAAGATTGGAACATCAGTTTATTTCTGGGCATTTCCTAGGTACTCCATATAGTTGCAACAGTTTTCCTATTAAACCAGTCAAAATCTGATTTTGAATAAAAGGGAACAGTAGGTTTTTTCGGGACCTTTCTTGTGCAGTTAGTGGGATGCAGAATATGAAGGGAACTTTTTCCAGTTAGCCACTTCAGTATTAAGCCAAAGCCAAGAGATCTTGCTTGTATATACAAGTATATATATATTTTCTAGACAGTGGGCTCACAGAGGGTTGTCAGCCATATGTGCCAAGGATGATTCCTGATACAAATTTCTGTTAGAGGCTGAGTCAACCCCAGGGCCATAGTGTGGCTGGAAGAATTAGGTCAATTGAAAAATCCAATGACCTCATTGGGAAGGGAACCCGTGACCTTGAGATGTAAAAATGTATGACATGCAATGATCAATGTATGGTACATTAATATATGTAAAGAATATGAAGCATGCTGTACATATACATTTAAATCTTGCAGAAAGCTTTTGGATGATGTAGACATTAAATTGAGCTGTTTACTGTGCAAAATATATTTACTTTTTCAGCAAAGCTAAACACATCAAGACCAAGCAGTTAGAGAGTATGACAGAAAAACTGAATGATATTAACAATAAACTGAAGATATCTATGGAAAATCTTACTGCTGCAAAAACTGGACGAGAACCTACAGAAGAACGCAGTGAGGTTTTAAAGAAGGTGGCTGAATTAAAGGCTGAGGAAGAGTCCTTGCAAAAAGAAATAAAGGAATACGAAATGTGGGAGAAGATGAAAAATGAATCTGAGGTTTGAAACATGATTTTCAAGAAACCATTCTTAGGTTCTTTGTTAATGTAGTCAATGAAAAGTTTATAGTCTTGATTTATTTAACAGTTCTTTCAACAGTTCAGGTTATTTTTAAAGGATATGGGAGGAACCAGTTGTGGCCTAATCTTGATGCACTGTCCTGTACTTGCCTCAAAGGAGAAGAATGTTTATTTTTCCTCATAATAAAATCAGATAATTTAACCAGAAAAACGTAACATTTATACAGGATCTGTAGAATTTATGTCATATTGTTTACATTCAGTTTCAGCTCATTACATTTTAATTATATATCTTTTTCAGATTGCAAAGAAAGCTGTAGAGAGGTGGACTGACAATTTAATGTGTGTACAGTCATTTTGTCAGAAAAAATTTGGTTTAGACATGAAAACTCTGGATAAGCATTTTGGAATTAGTGCACACATAGACTTCTGAAGTCAGACAGATACTTTAAGATGTGTTCCTAAGCTCTAAGAATGTGATTATGTATGTAACAATGTAGCAGTTGTTTGTAGTATGCTGATTGGTTTATCAGTCTATGTGATGTATGTATAATACACTTCTGCTTAAAGACAACTGTTGACCATTTCAAGACATGTGTAGGAAGTCGAGATGAATCTACTTCGTGATGGTTTCTTGCTTGGCTCATTTTTTGAACATGAAGATGGAAGCGACTTGTTCCTCCAAAATGTTGGTCAACTCTCTGTGGACTGCACAGCACTACGTATCCCACGAGACTTAACTCTCGACACATCAAATATGATTCATTTCACCTCAAATCCTGTGCAAGAACTCACACAGAAGTAACACAGCATTCTTTTGCAAGTTCTACATATGTCTGATGCTTCTTTTGTTCAATAAATATTAAATTGAATTTTTTTACTTTGATGTACATGTGTATAGAAAGGTTTGTGGTCCAGCAGACCCACAACAGGAAGGGTGGGGTTAGTGCCCGGTTTGGGACAACTGGAACAGTGTACAGGGAACAGACTACAAAAGCTCTATGAAGCAACAGGACGATGAAACAATGTCCATCACGGCAATGTCACCGCATTCTCTATTTTTTTCACATTTAAACACACTAAGAACTGTTTACAAATTACCTAAAAATACTTTAAAAGTTGGGGCTAGTGGGATGTGCTAATTTCAATCTTCTGCCACTGCAGCGTCACAGACCCAACGACAATTATATGCAAACATAACCACAATTCCTGTTACGCGCACTTACCATTCTATTAAAATACCTTTCATTACATTCACCATAATTTAAGTACCTCCTTCCTTAATTATTCGATGTGATTTATAAAATTTGAATACAAAGTTCCAGCAGAGTTCGGCACATTCACAAACTCGTCCCAACAACCTATACCAAACTTAAAAATCGCGTGTATGTAATTTTGGCTCAACGAGCGCAACGATCCGTCGCGTAGCGCATGCGTATCGTATGACACTACCGATACCGCCAACCTCACAGAACGAAATGCAGTTCTATAAAGTATGATATGCCGAGCTAAGAAATGGGAATATTTGTATGATTATCACAGTTTCCACCGTTGTGGTGTACCACAAAAATTTACGAAATGTATAATTATTTATTAAAAGTACCTTCACGTACCAACATGACAGTGCATTCCTTCCTCCGTAATGACGAAATTATTAAAAAAAAGTACAAACAAAACATCTTGGGAGAAAAAGTGACTGAGTAAAACGTACACCACCTAAGAGAATGATCAAGTCGAGGACGAGATGAGCTGCGTATGTAGCGCGAATGGGCCGAACAGTAATGCATAGAGGATATAGTTGGAAAAAACAAAAGGAGATAATCACTAGGTAGACCAAGACGTAGATGGATGGATAACATTAAAATGGATCTTAGGGAAATAGGATTTGAAGGTATGGACTGGATTTATCTGGCTCAGAATAGGGACTTGTGGAGGGCTCTTGTGAACACGGTAATAAACCTTCGGGTTCCATAGAATTTTGGGAAGTTCTTGAGTAGCTGCACAACTGGCGGCTTCTCAATAGAAGCCATACAGTTAAAGCAGTCTTCTGGGATGTGGCGCTGTGTGGATAATGTGTTATATACATATCTGCAATATCTATACGGTGCCACATCCGAGAAGACTGCTTTCTTCACAGTGAAAACCTCAAATCTTACACTCCATGCAGTTTATGTTAATGCTAGTGGGGTGGAACTAAGTCCCTTGTACTGCGGGCACTTCTGGCCTATTGTACCAGCCCCAGACGATTGGTGAGGGTGATTAAGGAATTGAATTTCCCTATTGGTCATCTACGGAATTCAATAACACCCGCTTTTTACGCATCTATATTGTTACCTCATTTTCATAGGTACATAAAAATTAAAATATATCCACAGCTTGTATATAAACTGTTAAAATGCAGTGAGTGACCATGATACACTCGGGAAATTTACCGAACTTTTTATAAACAGGAGTGCCAACATCCCGTCGTACAACATTCGACTAGAAACTTGATTTCCAATATCGGCACAGGAGATCGAAAATTATAAATAGTAGTCAACTGCAGTTAGTAGTGGAAATAAAATAGAAAACCGTTGTACATGTGTTACTTTGACTAATCTGTAAGTATTTTTTTCAGCCAATCTGAATGTGCAGAGTCACTCACAACGGTAAGCTGGAAAGTAAATATTGTGCCTATCTATTTGCGTCATATAACTTTGGACCTTGGTCGGACTCTTGCTGAATATCTAATTTTTAGGCATACGTTCCCTGCTGAAGAAAATAGGTTCGAATTATTCAACGTCTAAGCCTAAATTTATATTGTTAATTGCTTCTGAACAGTTTCCAGTACATAGCTGACATCACCACTATGACATTTCAATTTCTCGTGCTCAATAGGTATTTTTCCTCTTCACCGGCAATGGCAGCTGCTATAAAGAATGTTACAGTGATTGGTGGTGGTTTGATGGGCTCTGGAATTGCTCAGGTAAAAAATATTTTTTTTTTAAGTTTGGCTCAGGACCCTTTTGTGGTTATATTCAACATTATATTTATTAGTAAATTTCTTATCCAGAAATTATAAAGTATGGAGTAATGTTCCCTCACCCTTTGTTATATTTGCATTTTTCTTTCTAATGAGGAAACAGTGGTCTGGATTTTCTTTTCAGTTTGCATGCAACACTTTCTTAACCAGTGATACTGTTTTAAGCTTCAGCACTATTTCATAGGTGGCAGCCCAGACAGGCCATCGCGTTACTGTTGTTGAAGTTAATGAAAATGCAATAGAGAAGGCAAAGAATGGAATTCAAAACAGCCTGCAAAGAGTGGCAAAGAAGTTGTATAAGGTATACATTAATATAATATTGACGTTATATTTTTTCCAGAAGAGTTTAAAAACATACATTTAATTTCATTGTGAAAATGTAGAATGTAGAATGCTTTCTACTTAGACTTCATGTTAAAAATGGAATGAAACTTACTTAGTTGCATTTTTATTACATCAGAAAAAACTCATTGTGTTTAGGAATTGCATTAGTAGACTGAAGTTAATTGGTGAGTGTTATGCAGCACTGAAAGAAGTATGGCAGGTTGATTATGAATTAGAAAGGACATATGGAAGCAGCTACGATCCATTTCAAGATACTGTCCTTAGCCATCATGAATGCTAGTGTTATGCAACATAAATTGTGTACGTAGTTCTTTGTTGTATAATACACTCCATTCCTCACAAATTTTCCTTGATAGTATCTGATGAAATTTGCTCCATTCACAGGATAAACCTGCAGATGCAGAGACATTTGTGAAGGAAACATTAAGCCGATTGCATACATCCCTGGACTTGAAAGATGCAGTGAAGGACACTGACCTTGTAGTTGAAGCAATTGTTGAAAATCTTGATCTTAAACATAAGCTTTTCTCAACCATTGATTCAGTATGTACCATATTATTACCTTCCTACACATGTGTATCCATAAGTACGGATCAGATATCACTACAGGCTGTTTGTATTACTGATTAATAACTACGTTGATGGACTTGTGTGAGAGCACTGGAATGTGAACGCAAGAAGCGTGCAAGAGAAAACTTAACTTTTATAGCCTGTGTCACATTCATGCCACTATACCAAAATATTAATTAAAAGACAGAAAATTTTCAGTCCAGTGGGATTAGATGGGAAATGAGTTTAGTGCAGTTTTCCTCAAATGTGACAAAAGCTTGAAAAAAGGTTTTAACATATTTTTATTGGCCTACTTTATAATTTTTATGGTATTATATTTGTGTCCATTCATTTATCTTGCTTCTCTCTTTCCCATTGAATTTTAAACAACCAGGCACATTTTTACAGCAACTGCTGAATGTCATGCCACTAGAATCCATTTCACAATTGTCGTTTTAAATTTTCTGCTGCTAGAAATATCAACAAGACAGCCATGGAAACTTGTACAATCACAGTGACACTAGCAACACTTGTAGAATCTTTTTTTTTGTCTTTGTAAAATGGAAGGAACAGTATGGTGGTTTCATGAAATCTGTATTTTACTTTCTAATTGATGGCAGTAACTACGTAGTTAAGTTCTGCAGGGATACAAACCGTGAACAAAGCATAAAAAATGTTTATACAACATTTGTAACTAACAGTTAGAAACATGGGAGCTGTGAGAAACTTTGAGGTTACATCTGGAGAGTTGAACAGTCAGAATCTTTAGTATTGAAACAATGCAGAAGTGGATCTCTAAGCAGCAAAATTACAGTACGGTAAGTTCTATCCAGAATTTGTGTTACAGAGTCCTTAGAATTTTCCTGCTTGGCTCTTGACAGTGCTGATGAGAATATAAATGTATTTATGTATTAGGAGGGGTTTTGGTGTAAGCAGATATTTAAATTTCCCTGCTAGTCCTTGTGCTAAAGGATAATTTAATAAGAGCACCAAAATATTTGTTGATATGGCAGCCACTGTATCTCAGAAAAGGACTACAGTGGAACCTCGCTTAACGAGCATAATTCGTTCCAGAATCTTACTCGCTAAGCGAAACAATTTTTCCCATATAAATTAATGTAAAATACAATAATGCTTTCCATGCCAGAAAAATACTAAAAAATTGTATGTATAACGTTTATTCAAAGAAAATTGTATATACATTGTTAAGGAGCGTGAATCATCTTCATCTTTTCTTCTCTGCGGAATGAACCAACCTGAAATGTGAATTCCATTTGCATAAAAAAATGAAAATAATTAGTTTATTATTTATGATACATATCTAATTCTTTTTTACTAGAAAGCTGTCTAGAGACATTTGTTTTTGCCGACGCTTCAAAATTTGGTGAAAATGCGACAGCATTATCATTAAATAAATTTGTAGCACGCATAGTCACTGCCTTATTAGGGTGATGCTTCTCAGTGTACGATGCAACAGTTTCCCATGCTTTCAGCATTTCTCTTATTGCGCCAGAAGATTGTTGCTTTGCTGTTACCTCCTCCTTCTCCTACTCCTCTGACAAACTCTCCTCCACAACTTCTTTTTGTGAAACACAATGCAACTCCAAATCGTGCAAATTGTTGATGTAGACCAATTGTATGTGCATGCTAGATCGGCCACGCTCACGCCTCATTCTCGCTTTTCAATGATTTTACGTTTCATTTCTATGGTTATTTTTATTCTCTTATGGCTGTCTTTTTGCGGCTTTTACTTCTGGGACATTTTTGCAAGGGATTAAACTTTGCACAAAAAATCACAATATGTCTGAACACAAGTTTGGAAAAATGTGTGATCACAAGCGGAACAAGTGCTAAACACAGACTGATGTAGCAAGCGCACAAACGTCGCTCGTTAAGCAAGTCATTTTTTTACAATTTGTTTTGCTCGTTATGAGAGGTGCTTGTTAAGCGAGGTTCCACTGTACATTTACCAAGAAGACCAAAAGTAAATGTATGCGCACTAGGCACTTTTCATTGTCTATAATAGGTAAGCTGCACACCAGCATGCGTCAAGACACGATGTCTGCGACATGACACAGAGAAAGGATTAGTGTTGAAACGAATGAGATTATGAAAACCGCTACACACCAGTGTTAGTTATGACATCAGCATCATGACTCACACCGGTGTATGGCGGTTTTCATAATCTCATTCGTTTCAACTGTGCTCCTTTCTGTGCATCATGTCGCAGACATCGCGTCTTGACGCATACCGGTGTGTGGCCTATGATAGTGATACGGATTGCAACATCAACTTGTAATCATATATTCATGTGTGGTGTAATTCCAAACACACTTCATATTTCAGGTTGCACCAAATCATACAATATTTGCATCCAACACATCATCATTGTCCATTCAAGACATTGCCTCTGTTACAAAGAGAAAAGATCGATTTGGAGGATTACATTTCTTCAATCCAGTCCCCGTCATGAAACTTTTAGAGGTAAAGTGGGAACCAGTGCAGATTGCTGGAAATTACTGCTGTTCATGGTGAAAATATGTAAAGAACCTCAAAATAATGCTCATTCACATTTTAAGCATTCACTGAACTCCTGTTACATCCTTAGTGGTTCAGTATTTTCAAAGAGTTAACACAAAAAAATCTAGCATATGTTCATGGCTCATCACTGAATGAAGCACAGTCATAACATAAGGAGAACCAATAAAGTCTTTTGAAACTGTGGAGAAGTTTGGGAATACAGTAACAGATTGAAATAATATTAAAAAATAAATCTAATGCACAACAAATTTGAGAAAACTTGGCTACCATTCAGTTCAGAATCTTTTTTCTGTTTAAAATGTATGGAACTATATACTTTTCTGTTCAGTGTGGTTTGTCATTCTAAGTTAAGAACACAGATTGAGAGTGTGGTGAGAAGGTGGTGAGGAAATTCTTTGGACCCATTGCAGTAAGTAACTCATGACTCAAGAAAACTGCATAATTAATATATTCATAACTTGTACTCTTTGCCAGACATCGTGTAATGACTGTGAGATGGGCAAGGCATGTAGGTAGTACTAGAAAGATGAGAAATGTATATAAAATTTAGACAGAAGGGAAGAGACCATTTGGAAAAACTTGTGGCAGTCAGGAAAATAATATTAAAATGCATTTTAGTGGGTAGGATGTGATGATGTGAACTCAATTTATCTGGCGTGGGATAGGATCCTGTGGTGGTCTTTGATGTATAAGCTGATGCATCTTTAGGCTTCACAGAATGTAGGGAATTTTTTGACTAGTTGAGGAACTGTTAGCTTCTCAGAAAGGACTGTGGTCTTCTGGATTGTGACATATAGTTTCACAGGTGGATATAAAGTGTTCCAGAACATGCTGCCTCAATGAAGATAGAGCAGCAAATTTCTCTTAGATACTGGTATCCTCTTTCAAGGGTACATGATGGTATGACCCATAAAACAATAGTATTATCAACTGCAGTTGTGAAAATCTGAAAACTTGTATTCTCAAGGGGTCTGCTTCTTTGAGTAAGTTCTAATTAACACTACAAAAGACTGTAATAGAATGTACAGGTATGATATCCAAGTTACTTTCATACTGGTTTGTGTTCCATTGTAATACATTACCGTTTGGTATTACTTAGGAAACACCAGATTACAATATAAAATAATATGTACTCAGTGTTCCAACACATTTTATATCTAAAAGGTGTTTTATTTTATCAGCAGTGTACTTACTACTCACCAGGATACAGGCTGGATGTAACGCACGTTTTATAACTGTATATATTACAGTTGATTTCTTGGTTAACTTGTGTAAAAATTTTGAATTACAGTATATTTAATAATTTTCCTAATCTTCAACTTCAGTTATATAAATAACAAATGCCATTTGCTTCATTTATATTTTCTAAAGGGAATAAACCATTCTCTTTATGGGCAGACAGACTAACTGGAGATGAATAGCTCGACATATTTATGCAAAAATTTGTATGGATTTTACATATTGTATGCAAGAATTAAAAGACTTATGGTATACAAACTGTCAATGATATGTATAAGAATTCAGTGTCTCTAAAACTTATGCTGTCAGTATAACACATCAATACATCATACTGTATTTGTTTTTATTGTAACTTAAGTTTTTCTAGAAGAATGAACAATCTTGTAGAAACTTCTTGTCACTGTATTAAAAGTAATGGTTAACAGAACACCTCTGTGAGAGGTGAAACACATCAGGCTGTTGAATAAATATTATCTTATGCTGGAATTTGACAGTATTTGTTAAATTATATTAAAAAATTTTGAAGTTATTTCAGAGTGTTGCTGGGGTTAGGTTGGTATGTTTAACCTCTTTGGAGAAGTAAGTTTTGCAATTTGTTCATGAAGGTTATCCGTATACCTGAAACATCTGATGAAACATATGAGAAAATGACAGCATGGGGGAAGGCTCTTGGAAAAACAACAATCACATGCAAAGATACACCTGGATTTGTGGTTAACCGATTATTGGTTCCATTGTTAGCAGAGGCTGTCCGAATGTTGGAAAGGGGTAAGTTATCCAATGCAACAAACTATACAACGAGTAATTCTGTATTTCAGCATCCTGTTGCACATCTTTAATTCAACGTCTATGTATTTAGTCTGTCAATAATGCAACAATCATTAAAATATTCACCATTTAACACTAACACAACATGTTTCGGCCACAGAGGGCCATCCTCGGGTGTTTCAATGTGTCTAAACTGTTACACTGTTTTGATGCGCACAAAAATTGCGTGTTGCAGTCCACTTAATATTCATTAAAAATTTATTTTTCCATTAAAAACTTTTGTAAAATCCTATTCTGCCTCTTAAGGGGAATCATCCACTTGTTTTAAAGCTATGTGATGCATGTTTTTAATAGAAGAAATTTTAATGAATTTTAAATGGACTGCAACGTGCAATTTTAGCACGCATCAAAGCACCTGAGGATGGCCGTCTGTGGCTGAAACATGTTGTGTTAGTGTTAAATGGTGAATATTTTAAAGATTGTTGCATTATTGACAGACTAAATACATAGACATTGTATACAAACAGTGTTAAAATTGTTGTCCTTTTTGATCTGATAAGCATAATGACAGAACCTTGGGGACTTTGAAGATATTTGTTCGGTACTGCGATATGTATCCTCCGCACACTTGCAGATTAGTAGTAGTGGTTCAAAACAAAATTGGCATTTTTGAAAAATATGAATTCAATTTCTGACATAATGGATTACTATTTACAAGTGTGTGCACAGTAACTGGGACTTTTCTTTCTATGTTAGGTGAAGGAAGTTTGTCAGGACTCTCTTCTGTGTGTGTGTGTGTGTGTGTGTGTGATATTTTGTCGTAACTTAAATGAACACAGATATAATTTGGCCCCTTAACTCTGAATTATTGTATATGGATTGAATATACAGATGGTCAGAAGAACAAGTTTATTTGCAGTACCTCAAATTCTGTACTCTGGAGATGTAAACATGTACTTAAAACTCCCACAGACCTTTAAATTATATTTCAAAATTTATTAATCTTTCTATATCATTACCAAGAATTCATACACACTTTAATGTTTAATGCAACGTATCCAGTAATAATGCAAGTTTATGATCTTAAGTGGCCAATAGTATTTTTTAACTTTGTGATGTCATCGCATTGATATACCAAAGTACAGTCAACTCTCGATTATCCGGGGGGCGGATAAACCGGTTTGCGGCTTAACCGGGGCTACTGGGGCTTTTTTGAGGCTTATATGTTGTTTAATATTCATTCACTTTTGTATCACATGGTGAGTTGTAACACTATTTTCGCACTAGTATGAACCGAGCTCTGCATTTTTGTCCCGTTATGCTAACACAATGTTCTAGGGTAGGGGTGAAAGAATGCAAGGATTTGTGGAAAGTTTCAAGGACAGATACACCGCCCCAGTTGGTCTCTTTGTATCGATCTTCAAGTACGTTAGCAAAATGTAAGGGTGTAAAAGGAATCATGTTGTGTTAAGTATTCAACAAAAACTCGCGTGAGCCGGGCTTCGAAATGTTAAGCAGTGACGAAACCGTAAGTTCAGTGGAGGTGCAGCCAGAAGAGCAGGAAGAAAGTGAGAATGAGGAAGAGGTGGACAGTGCTGCTAGTAAGAAAATATCACATGGTGCTGCTCTTAATCATTTGGAATCCTTACTAGACTATCTTGAGAGTGAAGAGAACGGTTTATTAAGTGACAAGCTAATATTACATAGGCTTCGTACGGATATCGTAAAAAGGAAAATGCTGTGGAAAAGCAAACGACAATATTACTTTTTTTTAAGTGTTAAGTGTGAATATTCGTAAAAAATGTTGGATGTTGTTGAACACTGTGATTGAAATAACTAATTCACACTTCAGTATAATGTAAAAAAAGTATTAAATAGGCCATGAGATGACATAAAAATGATGTTGAGTAAATTTAAATACAGGTAGGCCCATAGTATTATGAAGGTACAGTATTACAGTACTACTTTTAATAACATTTGTCTTAACCGGGTTTTCGATTAATCGTGATTTCCACGCCCACCATTATCCCGGATAATCGAGAGTTGACTGTACTTGGTTTGGAAATCAAATTTGTGTATCCGTCTGAATAAAGTAAGCAGTGGACACAATGTTTTACACATGTTTGCTTGATATTGTCAGGTGATGCTACAGCGAGGGATATTGACACAGCAATGAAATTGGGTGCCAGTCATCCTATGGGGCCATTCGAACTTGCAGATTATGTTGGTAATGACACAACGAAGTTTATTCTTGATGGTAAGAACAAATTTGTATACTTACTATGGCAGCCAATTGCATAACTGGATCAATTTTGCATGGAAAGATTAACTGTTTAGTTCCAAGGTAGACTGAATGAGTTCATGCATCATGCAAGTGATTTTCTGTTCGGGCTGCTACATACAATTGCTTCCTGTGTTGGAGATGAAAATAAATGCCAGCAGTGAAGGTTTACCACAGGACTATCATATTCAACAAAATGTGTGGATGTGCCCAGCACACTAACCCTTGAGCCTCATTGCAGGTTATTGTTAGGTTATGAACTTAGGTTATCTATATGTAGAATTAACAACAGGATTTGTAAGACTGGAAGCATGTTCGATAGGAAAGTAGGCTTTATGTGTGTGCCAGGAAATTCTCATGTTAATTTCATGATGAAATGCAGTAGGATTGGAGTCAGGCCCTGTAAAGTTAGGAGATGCTAAACTTTCATGCTTGGTTTGTAAATTTATTTGATATTTTTGTTTTAGGTTGGCATCAGAAGTACCCAGATGTTGAACTGTTTAAGCCAATCCCTCTTTTAACTAAATTGGTGGAGGAAGGGAAGTTGGGATTAAAGACTGGAGAAGGGTTCTATAAATATGACAAGGGTACAAAATAACAACTCAGCGATAACCTTGGATAGAAGAGAAGAAACCCATGCAATACAACTATAGATAATATTCATTTCCCCACCACATTGCTCATGTAATGGGAAGATAATTATGCCATTTGTATACCATGTTTGGAACTGGATGTGTCATGTTACTGGTTGACTCGTTATAGATTTTTTTTTGTATTGTTTCAAGTTTGGTCAGAATATATAGTTATAGAAATTCAAGCCAGAAAGAAATGTACATTTACCTTTAAGTTACCCATCCAGCAGTGTTATAATTTGCAATTGCAGTCAACATTGCATCATGGCAGAAAGCAGCTGATTTCCAAATGTTCTATTTTAATCACCAATGGTAGCAAAGCAAAGAACAGCTCAGTTGGTATACTGGTATGTGTTAGATACAAATTGTCTTTCGAATACACGTTAAAAAGTAATGCTATGCAGAACCATCGAACGTTCTCAGGTAAAAAGGGTGCAGGCAGTGTGCATAGATCAAGTTGACATGTAACAAACTGAAGATATTCATAACACTGTTGTATATTTTTGGAAATTCTGATGCTGCAGTTCCTATGTGACATAAAAATGTTAGAATGAAAGATACTAAATATTCCTAGGATAGGAGTGAGCAGACAGGCTCTCATGCAGTCTTTTGGCCTTCAGTAAAATTATGTTGTTGCTGTTTGGTAGGGAGCAATTTGTACATTAAATGTCTTGAAAAGTTGTACCATTAAGAAGTAATATAATAAAAGTGAGATCTATTATTGGTGAACCCATCTTAACAAATTGCGATATAATAGATTTCAGAACTTTAAAGAGCAGCAGAAGAGGTGGTATTTGTGACAACAGCAATTTGTATCAACTGCTGAAGTCATATGGCATCATCCTGTTTCTCATTTGGTTTGGCTTCATTCATTCATTCATCAGTAATTTGTCAAGACGACAGGTCCACAGTCTCTTCCAAAACAATTCCTCCGCTTGTGGCTTAATGACATTATTTAGTTTCATGTTGAAGACTTTGCTGATGCCTGCTTTGGGAAAGGAAATTACTTTAGAAGATACATTTTACAAATTCATGAGTAAGTGTATTTCATATAATTTATAATAAAAACTCAATTAAAACGCAAAGCAAAAGTCACATGCAAATAATAATTCAGATGTCAGCAGACACAAATATGATCACGGATGTGCATGATTATTTGCACACCTTTTAAACAAATATTCAAGTCCAGTAAATATAAGTACTACTATGAAGGCACTGTATTCTGGGTACTGTTTTTATACATAATAAATACCAGAATGTATTTTTATATCAGTTATCAACTTGAAATAAATATGTTATATTGAAGTTTTTGTTACTTTCTTGATCACTGTTTCTCATACAAAAGTGAATACGAGGGTAATTCAATACGTAAGTTACAAATGGATATAGAACTTAAACAAATAAGAGTACTGATTAGAAAAGTGCTTTTATTTTTCAACATAATCTCCCTATACATCGATGCACTTGTCCCATCATTTCACAAGCCCCTGAAAACCAGCAGCATAAAATTCTTTGGGCTGGTGTCGGAAACAGGCAGTGACTTACCTACAGAAGGGTAACTATAGACACTATAGCTACTACTACTGGTTGTTCACATGGCATGGCCTACCTCATAATGCATGACAGGTTAGGTTTTCACAAAGTCTGTGCACGATGGGTGCCGCACATGCTGACCCCACAACACAAAATGCAAAGAATGGGTCTGGCATTACAGCATCTCAATCGCTACCATGATGAAGGACACAATATGCTAGCCCGAATTGTCACAGGTGGTGAGTCTTGCTCCAAACGACTTCCATTTGTTCGGCTCTCTTAAACATCATCCTCGACGATGAAGGTATATAAAGGGAAGTCACCGCCTGGTTCCAACAGCAGCCCAAAGAATTTTATGCTGCTGGTTTTCAGGGGCTTGTAAAAGGATGGGACAAGTGCCTTAATGTACAGGGAGATTATGTTGAGAAACAAAAGCATTTTTCAAATCAGTACTCTTATTTGTTTAGGTTCTATATCCATTTGTAACTTACTTATTGACTTACCTACGTACATGAGATGTTCGTGCATCACCCATTGAGAGTTCAGCAGCGATTCTCATCATCTGGTATATAAACTTCCATACCATTAACTTCTTCTGCTTTCTCCTGTATTCCTTTCCAGTCCTATATGTTACCTCTGTTTAGTGTTGCAGATTTGTGAGAATGCATTGCTGAAGCGTGAGATATTGGTCTTAGGACTTTCAAATTCCAGCAGAAACTCTGGCAATACGTAATCTCACAACTCCATCCTTGTTGGCACAACAAGCTGTCACCCACCTTGTTTGAATATTAGACTAGTTTGAGTTTATGGTATGTGAAAAGAGTAAATGTAGAGTTGATATAATTTTAAATAGAACAGAATTGAGCACACAATTGACAAGTGTTTTGTTATGGAAAGAATAATCATTTTGGATTAATAAAATATGTGAATGTATGTGTATGCATGCACACAGTTTCATTCTCTCCCTCTATTAAGTCATCTATGTATCATCCCACATCTGGAATGACTTCAGAAATATGGACCCTTGAAATGGTCCCCGAAAAACAATGGCAGTTTTATCAAAAATGGCTGTAATAATTCTGAGTACATTTTAGTAATTTATGGAGACTGTCTCCACATAAAGAACTGCATAGATGGTATCTATGGGGAAAGAACAGTATGAGAAAGTATGTGTAATGTCTGCAGAGATTTTTATATTGTATTATAACAGCACTGCTATTATATTTTGTGAGATTTCTTTCAATAAATAGGTGTACAATGAAAATCATGAATGCTATTAAGAATGCTATAAACGTTCCTTCACATAATGTACTCTTAACTGTAAGGTGATTCAGCGTTGGAGATTATCATTCATTCATTTATACAAAATCTGTACGAACTGCTGTTTCTCTTGGAAGGTTGTAACTGCAGAGGAAGTGTGCAGAGGACATGATGAAGCAATGATATCATATATGGTACCTGCTGTAAGAACTGAATAAATTCCCTAAAACCTCAGGTTGTCAGTACCAGCCAAAATTCAAACTATGTGCCTCTGAAATAAAAGTGCTAAAGAATTTATTTAGTTATATGGTTAATTTAACCATGCTGTCAATAGCTGAGACTATATAGCACACTGAATGACAGGATGATTGATGAATAAAGAATTGCAAAGGATTTGAATGGAAACAGTCATGGCCTGAGAAAGGTAGCATATTGACATTTGTGTGAACAGACTGAGGAAAACTACAAATAGCTTAAGGTCAGGACAACCAGTCTCTTGGCTGAGACATGAATCCAGGTCCTGAATATGAGGCAGGAGTGTCAACCACTAGATAATGATGTTCAGCACTGAAAACCTCTTGTAACCTGCCAAATAAATGATGTCAGGTGCTACTACAACAGTACACCCACAACACAGAGATGGTCATTTGAACTACAATCTGAAGATCAGTTTTTCCACACATTGGAAATGGTTGTACTTTATTTGTGAGAAAGTGAAAACCTACTGAATATAAAGAAATGTAGGCAAAATGTTTTTTTTTTTTTCAGTGACTACATTATCAACTTGAAAAGGTTTCATTCTCTTTACCAAGGACTCAGAACTTTACAACTACATTTTATCTGACTGGCATGTTACTGTCAACTACATATGAAGCAATATTTGCTGACTCACTATTATGTAATGGAGTCTCACTCCCAGCCATAACAGTTTGCAGTATCTATTACATTCAGTAAACAGTGTTGACTGTTGGACTGGTAGATACCAGGAACTCTTAAACTCTTGACTTTTGGGCTGCTGACGTTTCTTAGTGAATGTTTGTATATAATTGGTGCTTTGTTTTGGTTTGACAACTTACAGTGGAGTTCAAGATCTCTTATCTGCAGAATTTTTATCAAAATGGCACAAACAGTTCTCATATTAAACAGAGGCTTTTCAACTTCACCATCAGCCATGACAGCAATAAAACATGTCACTGTTATTGGAGGTGGCATCATGGGATCTGGAATTGCTCAGGTAACAACTTGTTTTAGTTTTAACCTTAGCTACAGATCAGTTGAAAGAAATTTGACTTATGTGAAACCTTCATACTGTTCACCTTCATTTTCATAAACCACTTCTTAATTCATCCTAACCATGTGTTGCCAACAAATGCTCACATCACTAATTTTAAAATTGATACTCTGTTACAAAGTACTGTAATAATATTATAAATTGGATTTAGGTTTAAGGTTATGGTCTTCTGGAATGTTATGCCATGTAGTTTGGTAGACTGAGAACAGTGTTACAGGGGAAGCTGGTGACATCATCTTCCAGGTATTTACTTTGAAGATAAAATATATAGGGTGCATACCCTAAAGATGGGGGACAGGGGATCCTCTGAAACGTCAATACTTGTCAACCAAACTATACTGCATGACATCCCACTGCCTTAAGAACCTAAAATCTCCGGGATTTTGGCTGCCTGTGAATTGGAAACCCTTCCATTATTAGAATCCATTTGTATCTTCATGATAAAATTTGTAGCCCTTTTTGATGCTAAAGGGAAGATGAAAATAGCTTCAAATTGTCAGGATAATCATAAACAACTATAAAATTACTGTAGTGGTTTTGTATCCAGGGAAGGAAGTGAGATGGTTCTGAAACTTTTTAATATGAAGCCTCCCATTATGTTACTTTGACCCTCGTACTGCCATACTTCATCCTACAGTGTGCAGCTATTTTTAGGCTGATTAATAGAAACTGAATTCTTATAAGAGACCTCAGTGCCCAAGATAGGAGCCAGGATATCTTGAAAGAAAAATATTTTGAATGATTATGCTATATCTCTCTCCTTTTCTGGTCTCACATGCATGTATGAATATGCAAACATGCACACATTGAACCTCCCTCCACCCACACACATGGATGGATGCACATACACAATGACATGTGTCAAAAGGGAGGTGCAGGTGGAGACCTAAGTTTCTGGACAAAATGTATCACCACCGTACATATAATTCATGAACATTTTGTACATATTTAAAATAAAAGATTTATTCTTATTTCTTGTTAACTTAGGGTACTCTAGTGGTTTTACATTCTATAAAAATGTATGCCGTTCTTGTATTTACTGTCACTAAATGACCCTGTGTATATGTGTTTGCTTAAAATCTGAATTAATGAATGAATTCATTCATTCACTGTTGGAGGAGGTGGGTTTCCCCATGCACTTAGACCAGTTATTGGTCCATTGTGCATCCCCCTTTAATTTCTACTGTCTCCATACCATATCGGTACTGGTGCCCGTTATCAGCCCCTTTCTGCCAGCGAGGTCGGCCCCCTACTGGCAGTGGTATCTGATAATTAGTCCCTTTCTGCCAGCGAGGTCGGTCCTCATCTGGCAGTGGTACCTACTACTTTCCCCATCTACCAGAGGCATTGGAAACTACCTGGGCTGGAAAATTTGCCTAATGTAACTCAGAGGTCTCCTAGAGACATGAGGTTCTTTTACGTGCCGTAAATCTACGACACGGGACCCATGGCTTAAAGTCCCTCCTGGACGACTTGTTTCCTGAATTTTTTCCACCCTTAAAAATTCCATGACCTCTGCCGGGTTTGAACCCACTTACCTTGAGTCATGATGTGGGAATGTTACCCCTAGACTACGAAGGCCGCTAATTAATGAATTAAATGCAACAGAGACTAGATTCTAAACAATAGAATGAATTAAGTGACCAATGTAATAGAACAGCTTAATTTATCAATTGCTTTACTGGAAAGAAACATGCAAAGGAGGTATTTGGTTTAGTATTTAAAAGAAGTCTCTGAGATTGAGAATTTATGTTCACAGGATTCTTCTTACTGTGCATAAATAAAAAGAAATCTTAGTACTTCAAAGCAAACATACCGTGTTTGATACCTGTGAAAAATTCATTCATTGCATGTTGGACATATTACTGTGCCATATTTTATAGCCCAAGAAGATAGATATATCCTACAATTTGTCATGACAACAGGTTGCTGCACAGTCTGGATATCAAGTAACTCTTGCTGAAATTAATGAAGGAGCTCTAGAGACAGC